GCAACAACAAAATACAACGTCAAACTCACTTTAGTCTATATATAAAACATAGAACTTTTATTAACAAAACAAAACAAATAAAAATACACCATGCTATAGGGCAGGCTATGCCTAATATAAAATAACAAATAACTTACATAAAGTTTAAATTGGTATACAAAACTGGAAATAGGCTAAGTAAACATGTATAATATACAGTATATATATATATATAACCAAATAAATAAGAAACGCAGAACGTTTATTAGCAAAACGAATAAGAAAGCTTGGAGGCACGGCATACACCTTGATGTCAAATAAAATAAATAAATGACACAAAGTTTAAATAAAGTAAAAATCAGCAAACAATATGGAACCAATTAAATAAGAAACAAATGTTTAAAAAAAACTTCCAAAATCACCTTAGATAAACGGCAAAAGTCAACAGGCTTTTCAAAATCCAAAATATTGCCAAACAGGTGCTTTTGCATCTAGTTTCGAAACTAAATCATCCGTCATCGTCTTTTCTGTCTCACCTCACCTCACTCTTCTTGTCAGTCAGCTCGACTCACTCTCCTCACTGGAGAAATTAAATCAGATCTGTGATGCGACTGTCGTTCGGCAAGCTGCATTGAGCAGCCGCGTTCAGTTTTTAATTGTAGTGTCTGTTCTTTTACTGAACTAAATGATTTTTATTAGGCTACTACAAAAAATCAAAACGATGGTGGGTCGGTGCCGCGGTGGGCAAGTGACGTAACCGGTGTTGCGGCTTAACACCGGTATCACCGTCAGCACCGTCTATCGTGGCAAGCCTAGTATCAAGTACCAATTATGATTAAACATGATTTGAGGAATTATTCATGCCTGTAGCTCAAAGGTGTTGGAGAACTTACAAGCCACAGTTTAATATTTAGTGCTGGGAATTTGATCAAATCACTAACCCTAAACATGAGCAGCAGTGATGGTGAAACAGCACTAATGAGGGAAGCCTTTACCTGATAAGCAAATGAATGTGGTGTAGTCACCAGGGCCTCCTGTAGCTAAAAACGGGATCTTTTTCTTCGTCCTCCTCTTCACCTGCACGGCTGCCAGCAGCCTCTCATCGTTGGGAATAAAGATCGCCTTGTTGAGGGTCGATTTGGCACTCATTGTAGCCGATGGCGCAGGCTGGGTGACAGCAGGGGGCTCTTGACTCTGATGAGAGAGACATTGAGACAGTCAACATCTAACAGGACCTCTTATACTGTATGTGACCTGGAGACACAAAACTTTCTTGTATAGCGCTTTTCACAATACGTATTGTTTAAAAGTAGCTTCAGTTGCAAAGTTGTGACTGACTTTACTATGATTTGTGACAAATTTCTAAGTGAAATGTCTTTTCAAACAAAAAACATTGTCTGGGACTTGATTTTATCCATCAGTTGCTGATTGGACTGTAGAAAGTGTGTGTTATACACCAGAATGGAAGCAGATCTGAAAGTGATTGGTTTCAATGCAGTGCAACTTTGCATGTGTTAAAGGGATAGTTCACCCAAAAATGAAAATTTTCTGTTAACTTTCTCACTCTCGGGCCATCCAAGATGTAGGTGACTTTTTTCTTCAGTAGAACAGTAACAACAATTTTTTTATTGAAACCATTCATTCATTCATTCATCACCAAATCATGTCAAGGAACACAAAATGAATACCTGTGGCTCCTGACGATATATTGAGGTCTTATGAAGAGAAACGATCAGTCTGTGCAAGAAACTGAACGTTATTTACTACATTATTACCTGTAATCCAGAGCCTCAGACAAACGGTCCAGAGTGATGTCTAGTTCACAAACGAATCATTCTTTTGAACCGGTTCTTTTTGGTGAACTAGTTGAACCAGTTCATCAAATCTGACTGAATCGTCTGAATCAGTGCGTGTCTCGAGCAGCACAGCTCTACAAGTTACTCCATCAAAACTCACTTTCAGACGCCTGACAGTCACTCCGACTGGAAATGAGCTGAAATAGCGGCGTATCTGATCCTCTGACGAATTAACTGATTCAGCACTCCAGTTCCTTCAACAGTCACTGAACTGAGGAAGCAGTTCGACTCGGACTGAAGACTGATGAGCCGCTGATATGTGCATGTGTGAACCGAGAGCTTGGATGAAGGGCCAAATGAACGTTTTTATGGTTTCTCATTGTTTATGAAAAAAAGATGAGTTGATTAAGACTAGTTTATTCACTTTATATGCTTTAGACATGTAAAACACCTGCTTTTTACATCATTATTGGGTGCTTTGGGTATACGTGACGTCATTGCGTGATTACGTAAATGAATCAATGATTTGAACTAGTTGATTAAAATAAACAGTACAGAAGAACCAGTTCATGGAAAAGAGTCAGAATTCTGTCTCACCTCACCTCACTCTTCTTGTCAGTCAGCTCGACTCACTCTCCTCACTGGAGAAATTAAATCAGATCTGTGATGCGACTGTCGTTCGGCAAGCTGCATTGAGCAGCCGCGTTCAGTTTTTAATTGTAGTGTCTGTTCTTTTACTGAACTAAATGATTTTTATTAGGCTACTACAAAAAATCAAAACGATGGTGGGTCGGTGCCGCGGTGGGCAAGTGACGTAACCGGTGTTGCGGCTTAACACCGGTATCACCGTCAGCACCGTCTATCGTGGCAAGCCTAGTATCAAGTACCAATTATGATTAAACATGATTTGAGGAATTATTCATGCCTGTAGCTCAAAGGTGTTGGAGAACTTACAAGCCACAGTTTAATATTTAGTGCTGGGAATTTGATCAAATCACTAACCCTAAACATGAGCAGCAGTGATGGTGAAACAGCACTAATGAGGGAAGCCTTTACCTGATAAGCAAATGAATGTGGTGTAGTCACCAGGGCCTCCGGTAGCTAAAAACGGGATCTTTTTCTTCGTCCTCCTCTTCACCTGCACGGCTGCCAGCAGCCTCTCATCGTTGGGAATAAAGATCGCCTTGTTGAGGGTCGATTTGGCACTCATTGTAGCCGATGGCGCAGGCTGGGTGACAGCAGGGGGCTCTTGACTCTGACATTGAGACCATTGAGACAGTCAACATCTAACAGGACCTCTTATACTGTATGTGACCTGGAGACACAAATATAGCGCTTATAGCGCTTTTCACAATACGTATTGTTTAAAAGTAGCTTCAGTTGCAAAGTTGTGACTGACTTTACTATGATTTGTGACAAATTTCTAAGTGAAATGTCTTTTCAAACAAAAAACATTGTCTGGGACTTGATTTTATCCATCAGTTGCTGATTGGACTGTAGAAAGTGTGTGTTATACACCAGAATGGAAGCAGATCTGAAAGTGATTGGTTTCAATGCAGTGCAACTTTGCATGTGTTAAAGGGATAGTTCACCCAAAAATGAAAATTTTCTGTTAACTTTCTCACTCTCGGGCCATCCAAGATGTAGGTGACTTTTTTCTTCAGTAGAACAGTAACAACAATTTTTTTATTGAAACCATTCATTCATTCATTCATCACCAAATCATGTCAAGGAACACAAAATGAATACCTGTGGCTCCTGACGATATATTGAGGTCTTATGAAGAGAAACGATCAGTCTGTGCAAGAAACTGAACGTTATTTACTACATTATTACCTGTAATCCAGAGCCTCAGACAAACGGTCCAGAGTGATGTCCGGTTCACGAACGAATCATTCTTTTGAACCGGTTCTTTTTGGTGAACTAGTTGAACCAGTTCATCAAATCTGACTGAATCGTCTGAATCAGTGCGTGTCTCGAGCAGCACAGCTCTACAAGTTACTCCATCAAAACTCACTTTCAGACGCCTGACAGTCACTCCGACTGGAAATGAGCTGAAATAGCGGCGTATCTGATCCTCTGACGAATTAACTGATTCAGCACTCCAGTTCCTTCAACAGTCACTGAACTGAGGAAGCAGTTCGACTCGGACTGAAGACTGATGAGCCGCTGATATGTGCATGTGTGAACCGAGAGCTTGGATGAAGGGCCAAATGAACGTTTTTATGGTTTCTCATTGTTTATGAAAAAAAGATGAGTTGATTAAGACTAGTTTATTCACTTTATATGCTTTAGACATGTAAAATATCAACAATTCACATTATTATTGGGTGCTTTAATAATATAATTGCGTATACATTACTTAATTGTGTGATTATGTAAAAAAAAAAAAAATTATTAAATTAAACCAGTTTTCTGAAATGAACTGTCCGAAAGGACTGGTTCGTGGAAAAGAATCGGATCTCCCTGTTTGCCTGAGGCTCTGCATTACAAGTATTAATGTTGTAAATAATGTTCAGTTTCTTGCACAGACTGATTGTTTCTCTTCATAAGACCTCAGTATATCGTCAGGAGCCATGGGTATTAATTTTGTGTTGCCTGTATATGCTTTTTTGACTCTCAAAATGTTGGTAGCCACTGACTCTCATTTTACGAATCACCTGCAGTTTCAGGACTGCAGTTTCAGCTGCAGTTTCTTCTGTTCTACTGAAGACAAAGTCACCTACATCTTGGATGGCCTGAGGATGAGTAAATTAACAGCAAATCTTCATATGGGTGAACATTTGGGTGATCTATCCATTTAAGTGATGTTGTTGAGTCTTCTTCATCAAGAAGGGCATTTCTAAATTCTGGGAGAGATTTTCTGTGACATAAACTCCCAAAACGTGATGTTTCTGAGTATTCCACAGTTTGAAAACGGCTGTTCTAGACAATAGAATTATGTTGTCAGTTTTCAAAAGAAAAGTAACTTGTATATCTCACTGTGTGTGTTTTCCCAATGCTTTCTCTGTTTGATCACTCACTGTACATGCATAAAGATGATGAGTGATTTTTAAGAGCACGTGGAAGGCTCATCTGTCCTCCCTGTGAGCGATTTTCTAACCTCAAGTGTGAACATGCAATAAAAAGCTAAAAGCACACACACACACACACACACACACACACACACACACACATTGACAGTAGATAGCAGCAGGAACATCCAGTAGTCAACAGTTATCTGTTTTGCCTTATTGACATTGAGAGATTGTGGACTCTGCAGGGTTGTTGCACAATGTAACTAGGTCATTTAAGTGTGGACAGCAGTTGAGAACACATGCTGACACTAACACCGTGTAAGGCCTCTGCGAATATCTCACAAATGAACGATTGAATCTCCGCATTCCACCCAATCTCCGGAAGGGCTTCCCCAAAGGGACGCCATCCTGATGTCATCTCAGTAACCAATCAGCAACGGAATTCCCTCAAGCAGCCAAACCAGGAAACTCAGCTTTTCAGCTGTCACCCAAAACGCAAGTAAACGAACAAAATCTTATCTCTGCTGAACTGGTGCCGAGCTAATTTTAAGCAGTAAACATAAGCCAAATCTCTGCTTTGTGATTTTCTCAGGTTGCAAGTAAGAGAACTGTAGCGAATATCTTGCTAAAACTTTGGGCTTTCCTCAGAACTCCGTTAACATCATTTTCATTCTTCAGAACCGAATGTGTGTGTGTATGTATGTGTATGTCTTAGCTTAGGTCAATGTAATTTAGAATAGCCAATAAATTCGTGTTTCATTTATAAAGAATCATTGTCTGGTGTCGTATAATTTTAAAGTCAAACCTTGCCAAGATCACGTTACCTCGCTAGGAGCTTACAAATTATCATAATTGTATTGACCTGTGGCCAAGGAAAATACACATAGTCAGATTGTTAAGATACACGGACATTAATGTCTCGCTGGATGACCGTTGATAAGGTGTAAACTATTAAAATTTGAAATCAGTTCTAATCAGGTTGACTTCGAATTTTCAGATTCGAGTCCTTTCAAAACCTGAATGAATTAATAATAATTAATTCCCTAAGAAAAGTAATCAGACAATACAACCGATACTTTGATTGTCTATACATGAAACTATCAAATCATCCATTTGCTCCAAACCCTATAGTACGCTTCACTGTAAACCCAATACTCAAAGCAATTCACTTCATTGAAAAAAAAAAAAAGAATTAAATAAGATGATCATAATCTGTGGCACAACATAGAGAGGTTTGAATCAAGGTTGTTACACTTCTTTAAAACAACATCGTAATGCATAATGCTCATGAGTAGGTGGTCTTTTGTCGCCATTTAAACACATTTAACCACATGAGCGTCTACAACCTCTGAAAGTGGTCAAAAGCAGACAAGCTTAAAACCCCATTTTTAGACAAACGTTTAGACCCCATTTACACCTGTATTTAATGTGGTCCGTTTGTGATGATGATCTTAATCACAGGGGTAAACAGGGCCTCTGAGTCTCAAAAGGCAGTTGTTCATATCTTGCAGATGGCATCACATGGCTCCACCACATCCACATAGATTCTGGCAGATGTGTTGTAACATTTACCTCCTATGAGGCCTCAGGTCACACTATTATTACAGTTTGAGACTCAAGAGTTATGATGTGAATAAACAATGGTATATTGATGTCAAACGATGCAATAGATTCAAAACCCACAACTGTATTATGAGCAACACTTAAAAAATAAGGTTCCAAAAGTTGTTTTTGTTTTCACAGCAATGTCATAGAAGAACCATTTTTGGTTCCCAAAAGAACCTTTCAGTAATAATTTCTTAAAAGAACCATTTTTTTAAGTGTGAAGAATATTCGAATAATCTAAAACTAATGCAAAGATCCTTGGATAAAGATTCTTCATTGAACCATCAATGCCAATAAAGAACCTTGATTTTTAAGAGTGAAGCATACAATGTGGGGTCCAGAGTTGAGGACCCCAGCCATATAATATCTTCTCCCCCAGTTTTCAGTGAAGTTCAAAATGTAAACACAGTTTTGTGATGCTTTTCAAATGCATCCTGACCACCAGCCACTGCCTCGGACATGAAATGCTCATTGGCAGTAACAGAAGCATGTAACGTGATTATATTTTGGGAATCAGATGAAAGTATAGCTGGTTCTTTAGTGCTATTACTTGCTTGCAGCAGAATTTTTCTTATATGTGAATTCTCTAAATGTAATCCAAATGATCTCAGGTTCACACCACAGTGCAGTTCACTTAAAATGTGCTTTAAGAACACAAAAGAGCCACTGGTTCACCTTACTTTTCATTTGTGCAATTCCAAATGTTCTTGGGTGTTTGTTTAAAAAAATAAGTTCAATGAACTTCCTTCTTTTACCTAAACACCTGCAGGAAAACAGGTTTAACAGTCAACAGAAGACTATAGGTAAGTCCTGAGAACTGCTGTGGCTTACTAAAAAAAATGTGACAAAAAAAATTTGCCACCCAAAATGTGGGTGGCAAAACAATAAAGTACTGCTGTCAATGGAGACTTATGAGGAGCTCTAAATGAGATGAAGAACATTTCCAAACAGAAGGAAGCCGCCTAAGTCAACAGACAGCGAGGGGCTCTCTGCGTTTAGGACAGTGCTCATCTGCCATCATACTTCAATCATTCGGATCAATGGGACATGTGCATACATGAGCCAGTAAAACCTGATAACGGCTCTTCAGTTGGATCACTGAGTTAGATATTTCATCAATATAAAGCAATGGCCAAAACAGCAGTAACATCACTATTTTTCCATTTTTTCTGGTCTACAGAGAGATGAGTTCATTTAAAACAGATATTATTGGAGAATTGAGTAGACAAACAAAAGCTGCATGTTGCAACTGTTGCTGTTCTTGCATTCATAATGTATGAGCATAGAACACATTAAAAATGACACTTGTTTTTGTTTTGAAAGAAAACTTAGAAGAAACATTATGATATTATATAAAAATGGAGCAAAATTACGTTTGTTCACCTAATATTACAAAAACAAAGAGTTAAGACAGACCGCTATCTTCAAATCCTTCAAGAACCAAACCCAGACCAATTCGCAAACTCACGCCAAAGCCTGAGGACACAGAAATACAAACAGCATCCAAACAAACTCAGCCTGTCAAACAGTCATTGTGGATTGGCATATGGGAGGCTGCACAAATTCATGCTCGCTTGTATAACACACAACAAAGAGCCATAGTTACTAAAAGAGGTGGCACAAAGCTGCTGTT